TGAATGGAATATCAAAATACACAATTTAAAGTAACTGTTAGAAAAAAGGTTACACATGATGCTATCAACAGAAGGGAGCTGAAAATTAAATGGAAATGATTACCAAAGAACTCATTTCCTTTGCTACTGGGAGGCTAACAGCAATAATAAAATAGAATTTAGAAGTGAAAGCTGAGATTCTTCCTTTGATGTCTGAATATTTTCAGTTTATGTTCCTTTAAAATAAAAGGCCACATCATAAATTAAATGTGATACTTAATTTTTATTTTCTCTCCACTCAAGCAGCATGTTTTCCTCTAGGTGATTATTAAAATAATGATTCACCTCCCCAGCTGCTGTGCACTGGCAGGTTTTTGTTTAGGCAGAGGAGCAGCATGAGTTGGGAGATTGCTGGGTCCCAGACAGGCAGAATCCAGTTAATTCTTGGAACAGAGATTAAGGTTGTTTTTTTTTTTTAATTCAACATGTGAAAATGCAGAATGAGAAAGGGCTGATGCCCTTGAGCTTAATTGTAACTGAGCACCCCCTGTGATGGAATCACAGAATGGTTTGGCTTGGAAAGGACCTTAAAGCCCATCTCATTCCACCCCCTGCCATGAGCAGGAACACCTTCCACTGTCCCAGGGTGCTCCAAGCCCCATCCAGCCTGGCCATGGGCACTTCCAGGGATCCTAGGGAAGCCACAGGTTCTCTGGGCACTCTGTGCCAGGGCCTCATTACTGAGTGAGTAAAAAAAAATAAATTCTTAATATCTGATCTAAACCTACCTTCTTTCAGCTTAAAAGCGTTTCCCTTCAAGACCAAAGACAGTTCTCAAAACACCATAACTACTGAGTTTAGTGTCTCTCTCATTATCACCGCTTTATTATGGGAGCAGGGAACATGCTTGGCAGTGAAAATGGAAATGCAGTGCCCTCTGGTCCCCCTTTATGAAGATGGAGGATTTTATTTATGAAATTTCTTTAGCCAATGCAGAAAACATGTTGATAACTAATTTTTGATGTTTCTTCTGACAAGACTTGACTGGTTGAGTGCAGGTGCCTGCTGGAGGGTGAACTCCAGGCCTGACTCTGCTCACAGAGAGGTGTCTCCATGGCTGTTGGGGGTATTTGGGGGAAATTTGGCTGTGGGGTAAGTCACAGGTTGTAGGGCAGACCAATATTCAGGAAAAGTCCTCCAGGATAACCCAGGGTGTCTCAGAGCTGCTACCTGACTAAAAGCAAGCGGTTAAACTGCATTAAACTCTGCTATAGACAGCCTAATTAAAACACTTGAATTGGGACCTGAATCCAGATTCAAAGCAGAAATATTTGGATTTTTAGGGGAGATGTCAGAGCAGGAGAGGCAGCTCTGTGCTGCCTGGGAGGCCAGATCAGAGCCATTCTGGTCTCAGGCTGTCCCATCCTCTAAAATCTCCAAAAGTTCCATGCTTTGGCTACAAAAGCAACTCTAGGATGGCACTGATGGCTTTGAAGGAAAACAGCAGAGTTCTAATTGAAACCAGTGGATGAAGGGAAGTGATACATAACATTACACCAACCTGTATCCATCTTTTCTTCCTTACTTGCCTTTTCTGTGCTAGCTTCACCTTCCACAACTTGATGCTGTTTTTTCCTTTGTTTCACATCTCATCTATTTTCCAATTCTATCTTTGTGTACATAAATATTGAGATGATGTAGAAGATAAAGAACTCCAAATTTCCTGTTACCAACAGTGGAATGGACCCCATTACAGCAGGTACAGTCTGGGCTGCACCCAGTGCCAGTTACAGAGGAGCTAAAAATACATTTACTTCCTGTATTTCACCAGCTCTGCTTGTGCTGTGATGGAGCAGAGATAAAATTTCTGTGTAAGCAAGGAAGGTAGAAAAGCTTCCTGAGCTCTGCACTGAGACCTCTGCTGGCTTCACATCACAAGACACACTTTGAGCAACACTCTGATGATGATCTGGTGGCTGCAGGTGATGTGGCATCCCTGGAGTGAGGTCTCAGTTGGGATCTCTATTGTGGGCTTTACATGTTCAAGGTATAAATACAATTACACAGGGAGGAGCATTTCATCTGCCAGGACCTCCTCTTTGGAGTTGTGTTGTCAGACAGGGAATTCTGGTGACACCTTTTTACTGCAAGAGTGTCTTGGAGCAACTGGGCAAAGCTGTCTTTCCTTTCAGCACAGGCTGCAAAGAGCGTGGTGGGTGCAGGACAGAGCTTGGTTTTCTCTTCTGAATGCTGAGGAGCTGTGAGACCAACCCAGCTCCTCTTGGAAGTCTTTGCAGGAGTGCTGAAATCAGGGCTGTCATTGACAGGTGACTCCCACTCATCCTGATTTGCTGGATGCCAACAAGTAGGAATCCATACATCCACCAGGCGAGGCAGCAAGACTGAGAAAGGAGCACTGGGGACTCCCAAAACCTGAGCTGAAGCAGGTGGTGCTGGAGGTCAGGCCCTGATGTTTGCTGGTGCCCTGGTCCTGCAGCAGTGCTGTGATCCCACAGGGCTCCAGAACAGGATGGACCCTTCAGCAAACAAATAAATAACCAAACCTGTCAAGCCCCACCTGCTGTGACTGTGTTCACAGGGGTCCGAGGATGAGGGAAGAGATGAGGATCTGACTCCATGTTTCAGAAGGCTTGATTTATTATTTTATGATATATATTATATTAAAACTATACTAAAAGAATAGAAGAAAGGATTTCATCAGAAGGCTAGCTATGCTAAGAATAGAAAAAGAAGGAATGATAACAAAAGCTTGTATGTCGGACAGAGAGTCCGAGCCAGCTGACTGTGATTGGACATTAATTAGAAACAACCACATGAGACCAATCACAGATCCACCTGTTGCATTCCACAGCAGCAGATAACCATTGTTTACATTTTGTTCCTGAAGCTTCCAGCTTCTCAGGAGGAAAAATCCTAAGGAAAGGATTTTTCATAAAACATACCTGTGACAATCTACTATGCCATAAAACAAATAATTCATGGAGGAGGGGAGAGAAAAAAAGAGAAATAAGGTGGAAATGGAGGTGCCAGGTTCAGCTAAGGCAGAGGAGCATCTCTGTGGGTACCTGGGCTCATTTCTGTGTGGGTGCTTTCAGCCCTCCCAGGCTGATATCTCTCAATCACTGTCACCACAGGAAAGCGTTTGCTGCTTCCCACGTCACTCTTCACACCCCCAGGCACAGCTGGGACACAGTGAGCACGTTTGTGGTGCACTGTACCCACCTCCTCCCTCTCCCTGCCCCCATCCTCAGTGGGTTTGTGGGGTTTGCAAGCTGAAGGTGCCTCACAGACAGAAGCAGGTGCTGCTTCTTGTGGTTTGCATCAAAAGCTTCATACTAATCCTCACGCTGTGCCTGCTCTAGCAGTTACTCAAGCAGCTCCTTCACAAGTCATGCTTGTGGTTCTATGGGACCACAGCTGGAGTGCAAAGAGCCCTCCTTCTGATCAGAGAGGTGTTAAAACCTGTTTCTCTTCAGTGACTTAACCACAAGAGGTGAGCCAGCACCCTCCTCCCTTGGTCTGTGCTCTTGGGTTGTCCTGCATTGGTGTCAAGACCAAAATGCTCTTCCACTCCAAAGGGAACATTCCCTAAAAGTCCTCCAGGGATACTGCCAGTCTTCAAATGCTTAGAAATGCAGTTTCTAGTCTGGATGAGGCTAGCCAGACTCCACCAGAGTCATGGACACACTCAGGCACTCATGTGACTTGGCTCACCCTCATTTGGGTGTCAAAGGAATATGTCCTAAGTCACCCTCGTTTAATAAATACCTCTGCACATCTCCTGTGCAACCCCTCAGAGATACCAGGCCCCATTGAGAGCTGTGTCACCTTCTGGTGGTGGAAAGGAACATTTCACTCTCTTCCTGGGTACCTTTGCACAGCACCAAATCCTTGGTTTAGATGTTGCCCTGTGGAGTAGTAGTTGTTCAAGTGCTTGCTGCTACTGTGTATTTATGGGTCAAAATTCCCCTGGAGAATGTTCCCCAGACAGCACAGAGCCATTTTAATGGCTTTCCTAAGCACCTCTGTTCTTTGTCCCTATTGAATCACTTCAATGCCCATTTCCCAATTATGCACAACATTTTATTAAACTGTACAAACAGCACTGGCATTTAAAAAATTCATGTCAACTGTTCTAATGAAACATGATGACCAGCTCCACAAACTGCGAACACAGCTGCCCCCTCCTGCATTTCACACAGCACAAACAAGGATTGCATCAGTCACTGGACCGAAACCTTTCTCAGGGTGTTCTGCTCATCTTGTTGACTTCAGGCACTTCAGCCGCTGCTCCTGATGGATTCTGTGCCTGCAGCCACTGCCAGTGATATCCCAGCACTGCCTGCAAGGCTGCACTCATCCTGTTGGGAGCTCCAAATTGACAGCCTGGACCAGCAGAACCAGGAAGGCACCTCTGAAGGAACCTGATTTTGGGATAACTTACCTGCTAGAGCTTTTCTTCTCCATGGACTGGAGGCTGATGCAACAAAGCTCCAAATGTATGTTCTTCAAATAGATCCCAACACCAACCCGAGTGACTGCCTAAGCCCAAGTTGTTACAAAATCTTCTTTTTAGGCTCTGACTTGATTTTGACGCAGCTTTTCCTGGGTATCTCACTGACAAGTGGTTTCACGCATCTCCAACCTCAGAAAACAGTGCACCATTATTTAAAAGGATCCCATGATGAAAGGATCATGGAAAAGACATTTTTTCAAACCCACCCACATTCCCACAGACTGGATAGAACACACAGCAAAATGTCACAAGGTGGGGGTGAGGGCCACCCTCACCTGATGTGCCTCCTGCCCTGTGACCATTGTGTGCAGCTCATTGACCTGTGAGCTGGGACATCATTTACAGAAATAAGCAAATGAGCCTTTGCAGGACCAGTTAGCACCTTTAAACTTAAATACCCCATTTCTGTGACTGGAAGGCCACTTTTGCAATGCTTAAACAATGGTTTGAGGAAATGTTGCCTTTTTCTCATGTGGTTTTCGGGTAAAATGTCAGAAAGCCCCATTGAGATCTTGCCCTGAGTCTGGTGTGTCAGAAGACACTTAAAGCTTTACAACAGGGTTCTTGAAACATTCTGCAACTTCCCATCCTTCCTGCTCAGGCACTAAGTGTAAACTCCTGGTTTTCTGTACCCCCTTGGCACCCCCTTTGGTAATGATCCATTGAGATGTGCAGATGGTGGAATGGGCACCTGAAAAAAGTTTCTTCGTCCTATGGAGGAAAATTGAATCCTAACACCTGTGAACAGCATTTTTAAAGGGTGTAGGGAGCAAATTTCTTTCTTCAAAGCTGTGCACACTTTGGCAATTCTGCACATGTACAAGTGGAGGTTACCAAAGCATCCAACTTGAGTCTTCCCTGATCAGGCCTTGAGAAAATCACTTTTCCTTCAAAAGAAGGTGGGTCTGGGTCAGAGTTGCAGAAATGGGCACTGACATCACCAGAACCTCAAAAATACTCACTTTTCCTTACAGAGAAACCTGTTGGGTGGGTGTACAAGTAGTGGGGAACAGGTTTTGGCACCTCCTCATTTTCAAATGCTTTCTACTTCAAGAACATTGGGAAGAGAGAGAAGAGAGACCAAAAGATACCACAAAGAAACTTTATCATCAATGAAGAGTAGGCTGGCATCTGCCATGGACTGGAGAAAGTCAGAAGCCTCCAGGCATGGTACAAACTTTCACTGAGGTGCTTTCTTTCTGGAGGGTTCTTGATAAAAACAACCATGCACAGTCTTCAGCTGACAAAGTGCTACTCAAATCATTACAGAGAATTCCTTCAGTAAGGCAGATCTCAGGAAAATATTTTCTCCATTTTAGGGTTCACAAAAGAGAAGTTGCTGAACATATTTTGGTCCATGCTGTTAATCAGTGCTCTGTCAGCACAGGACAGTCTGGGTTTTTCATTTAGGAATTCCTTGTCGAAGTTGCTACAGTCACTTGGAGATTTCTTCAAGAAAAGGAAAAAAAAATATGTTAAACCACTAATAGTCAGATCTTTATTACCATGGTACTGGCCCTATCAGGCTCCTTCCTATGGGCTCAGCTCCACCTTCAGTTGGGAGCCAGTAAATATAAATATTGTAAAGGAGGCACTGAGCCTGTGTACCAGGGATTCTGCCAGGCAGGGATGTTACAGCTTTGTAACACGGCAGACTGAACTCACCAATTGCATAACAATTGTGGAAGACTGTAAAATGAAAATATGATGTGCTTGTCAAGGTAAATTCTATTATTGTTATTAACAGGACTTTAATAATTTAACAAGACTTATTAATAGTCAGGATTATTCTGATGTAGCCAAACACGGCTCCTGAGCTGTTTTACCTTCTGCAGTGCAATGAAAGGCAATCCCTTCAGAATGGGCTGCAGTTCTGAGGTGAAGGGAAGGTGTTACCCTGCTGCAGTAACTGGGAAAGCAGTGAGTAATTTATGGTTTCCCAGGTGTGGGTGTGACAGACCTGGGCTTGCAGCCACCACCAAGCAGTGCTGTGAGGATCAGCCAGCAGAAATGCACAGTTTAGAAGACCTGAGATGGGTGGAAGTGAAAGAAGATACATCCTTACCACTCTTGGCTTGAAAGGAGGCTCCATCCTCCTCTCTTCCAAAGCTTCCCAGTTGATTTCCCTGAAGAAGGCGTGCTGGCGGATGTTCCCTCTCGCCCCCAGCCTCCTCTCGGGCTCTCTTACAAAAAGCTGGAATGTTGATCCCATAGGTTAAATTCTCTGATGATAACACAGGCATAAAGCAGGGTGGAATGTGTAATTATCCAGAGAAGAGGCCATAATCAAGAAAATGTTGGGATTTTTTTTCCTAAACAAGGAAGTTTACTGATTGATATTTAGATGATTCTTACCTCTAATTCTGACAGATGTACAGGGTGTTTGGGCAGAAAGGTGGCAGCATGTGCCCCAAAAAGAGATGTTCAATATCTCAGACTCATGTAACCCTTAGTTTGAAGTATTTTTCCCAGGAGTTAATGAGTTTTTCTCATTAAAACCTTAAGGATTGCTCTGCAAATAAACTGATCTCTGCTGGTGTCTGTGAGGAGATATCAGGAGAAGGAACACACCCAAATCTCCTTATTGGGGAGGTGTGGTACAGGAAAGACAATGACTAAACTACATCTGTTCCTCTCTACAACAGCTGAGGATAAACAAATTGAAGACAAAACAATAATTCTGGCAGAAAGGCTTTCATTTGATGGGTGTCGACTCTTACCTTCACCAAAATGTCCTTTGCATCCTTGTCCAGCCAGCGAGGGTAGAAGGGGTTGTCCATGCGGATGGACTGGAAAAGCTCCTCCTCATCTTGGCCATGGAAAGGGGATTGGCCAATGAGCATCTCATACAGGAGGACACCAAAGGACCACCAGTCCACAGAGGTGTTGTACTTCTGCCCCAGCAGTATCTGCCCAGAAAGAGGAGCCACAAAGGCAGACGTAAAATGTCTGACATGAGTTTTTCAGCTTCAGGAGGGTGGGCAGACCATGGCCTAGCAACAGCTGCTCTGTCAGAGGTGCTTCCCCCTGCCTGCAGCAGGAGCCAGAATTCTGCCACTGGGAATCTGGAGCAATGAGGCACAGCCACAACTGGGTGCTAAACCAGTCCCTGGCACTACAGACAACAGGCTGCACTTAATTCTTACATTACTTGAACAAATCCTTGGCTACCAGAGAGATCTCAAATATAAAAGATGAGAAAAAGTCATCTTTAGCCTGCTCTCCAAGGGTTTGTAAAGTCCAAGAGGACAAATGGTCAGGAATCAGCATCTTGGGATTGATTCCAGTGACACAAGCTGAGTTTTAAAATTACAAATGTGCAGCTTAAAGGTAGTTCAGGACTGTCAGTCACTTGAAACTCTGTGACTCTACCCCAGCAAAATCCTCCCGAGGAAAAACATGAAAGGGGTTGCTGGTCTGTCCTCTTGAGACCAGCTGGGTTTTAGATGGAGGAATGGGACTTTTCCTCAGTCAGTGCCTTGGTTTGTGCCTTGCAGTGTCACCTATAAAGTGATATCCAGCTGGAATGATGACCTCTCCAGGGTCTAAAGGACCATCACCAAGTTCTCAAACTCTCTCTCTGGAGAAGCAAAATTAATTCACCTTCTTTTAGGTATCTGTTGTGGACATGTCTAGAGCTGGACCACTTATCACTAGCTCCTTTTATAGCCAAGGAAGGGAATCCAGCCAGTTTTAAACATCTAATTGAATATCTACTGCTGTAAAATACAACCCCTGTGTGTCTCCTTCGGTTCTCAAAGAGCCTCAAAAACCTGCTTATATATAGATTTTTACATTGCAGATATCTAAAGGTTCACATGATGAGTGTGTGTTGGATTCTCAGCAGAATTTTAGATCTGTAGAGGGGAAAATTTAATTTTAAGCCACAGTCTTTACTCTTGAGCCCACATCTTGGTTGCAGTGGGATGCTCTACACTCCATCTGTCTCCAGAAGGGATATGCCAAAGGGACAAAAAATAGATTTGTAATATATACAATGAGCTGTAATATATACAATGTGTTGTAATATATACAATTCTACTCAGAGCCAAAAAAAAAAAAATCAACAAGACCCCTTAATATATTTTTTCTGGATCACTTACAAACAAAATCATCCTAACCTTTCCTTCTGAAAAAAGAAATTATTTTTATAAGGCTTTATCTTTCAAAGTCTAAAGTATCTGGAAATTGAAGTGTTTTATGGCAGTCAGAAATAAAAATGTTTATTTTGTTTGAAATTCTCCGGGACAAAAATAAACTCATTAATTTAATTTCAGGCTGTCTTTTTTTCTGGTCAGATTTTTTTGAAATGAAAAAAAATTGCTTGTCTACTGACCCAAACCCCCCCTTATTTGCATGGCTGTGGCCAAGGTGCTGGGTCTGTAAAAAATTATAGTGGCAGCAGCTGCAGTGAAATACTGAGAGAGTCCAGTGCTCCTGCCTGTGGCAGGAGAGATGATCCATGAACTCCAGAAGTGCTTTCAATTTGGAGATAAAATGTTTTATAGGCACTCATTGAATCCCTAAAATAAACATAGCATAGAAATAAAACTCTGAGCTATTTCAGTTTTTCTCTTTTCTATAAAATAAAATCACAAATAATGGATCAACTCTTGGCTGCTTTTTTTTTTTTTAGAAGAAAAAAAAACAACTTTTTTTTCTTAAATAAAGGCAAACTGAAGTGGAATAAAAGACAATTGCAGCTTGATTGCAGAGCACACTTACACCCATTCTTAGGCAATAGAAATCCAATTGATTTGAAGAGACCCTTGAGCCAGCAGTGGTGTAACCTCAGCCAGACTCGAGCCCTTAGTGCGCAGTGAAGGACCAATGAATTATAGCAGAGGGAAAAAAAACCCTAAAGGCTTTGACAACTCTTTGGAAAATACCAATATCCATCATGAAAACATGAAAATTACAAAATGGGATCTTGAAAGGTAAATAGATGGATTTCAGACCAATGTCAGACATGATGCATGGATGACTCGTAGGTTTTTCTCTGAGGAAAATATAAAAAAATATTTTCTGTGGCTACCTAATTAGTCAAAGCCTCTCCATAGTAGGATCTAAGTAGGATCTATCATTGTGTGAAGTCATCAGGTTAAGGAAACTTTCTCTTTTCTGGAGAGATCTAGTCCAAAACACCTAAATTTTCTAGGAGAAAAAAAAAAAAAAAAGAACAAGTTTATGTCTGGTTAAAACCTGAAATAAGGGAAAGGGCACAGTCAGAATCCTCAGGCTGTGTCTGTCCCTCAATTTCAGGACCTCTTGGAGTTTCTTCTGCCATGGTCCAAAAAGAATTTCCATTGAGCATTCTCTTCCTTGGTTTAAGCCAAGTTCCACTTGCCCCAAAAAATGAATTAGCCACAAAAAAAATAAGCAATGCCAAACAGCAACACAGACTCTGAGCTGTGCTGAAATCCAGTTTCTGGCCTGGAAGTGCTCCTAACCAGGTTATTGCTCTTTGAAACCTCCACCACTGCACAACAGTCATGTCTGGAGATGTTCTCTGTCCCACAGCACTCCCTGTGCCCCACACCTACCTCAGGGGCAATATAGTCAGGAGTCCCACAGAAAGTGCTTGTCTTGGCATCTCCAAACATGTTCTCCTTGCACATCCCAAAGTCGGCAATTTTGATGTGCCCCTCGTTGTCCAGGAGGACATTGTCCAGCTTCAAGTCTCTGTGGAGGGAGAGAAAAAACCAATTTCTTCAAAGTGTGAAGCACACAAGTTATTTTAGCAGGTTACACTTATTACTCTCATTCTCTGCCTCTGTGTATTGCCTCCATGCTGGAAATACAAAGGAAGGCTGAGGGATAAATGGGGAACTGCTCTCTTGGGCTTCAGCATTCCCCTCCTGCATTTCTCTTGTTGCAGCACTGATTTATCTGCTGGAGAAGACACAGAATAATGGAATCACAGAGTGGTTTGACTTGGAAGGGATCTTAAAGATGCCCCAATCCCCTCCCATGAGCAGGGACACCTCCCACTATCCCAGATTGCTCCAAACCCCATCCAACCTGGCCTTGGACACTTCCAAGGATCACATCACCCCAGACATCTTCTAAAAGCTGTTTTCTTCAAGGATGCACAATAATGAAGCTAAGAAGGGCTTTGTGCCAGCTGCTGCTTCTGCCCTAACGCAGCCTGGAGAATGAGAGCGGTAATTCTCACTCTCTCCTCCCCTGGGAATCTCAATATTTTCTCTGAAGCTGCTGCCACATCTCCCTTGTAGTGCAGACTCTACCAATGCCCCAAGAGGAAAGGACCCACAAACCCTGCAGAGGGTCAGAATAATCCCAGAATAACCCCAGAATAATCCCAGAATAATCCCAGAATAATTTTAGAGTTCCCACCACTGCTGGGCTGCACCATCTGAACCCCAGGATTTACAGAGCCTTTCACACTCAGCTGCCAGGCTGCTGTCTGAGTTTTCAGGCTCTCAGCTACTCTGGGAAACAAAGAGCCCAGGCAGAGGAAGAAAACAGAAATGGACAGAGAAGGAAATAAAAGCAAACGAGCTGATGAATCATGACCATTGGTGGAGAACAAAGAGGTCCTCAAGTGGGAACTAACTGTAAAAGGAGACAAAAACTTGTAAAGCGGAAAAAAGCAGAAAGAAAGGAAGAGTGGCATGGATTCCATGTTAATTTTCTTAAATCTTTCCTAAAGGTTTTGTTTTGATTTGAGATAGTGACCCAGGTAAAATGTTTGGATCAGTGATGCTGCACTCAGCTGGGGATGTGGGTAGAATTTGGTTCACTTGGTCTTTGAGCACAGACATTCCTGCACTGCCTCGTTTGTGCTGGCAATCACTGCTCCTTCTCCCAAAGCACCTAGACACATTTGTGTGTCTTAATATATATATTTTTAAAAAATTATTATATATTAATATAATATATAAAATAATAAATAAAAATAACAATTACACCCACAGCTGAGGGTATAATTGTTATTTTTCACACTAATTCAGGGCCTACACATATTTTGGCCAAAAGGCCAATTTGGTTGGGGACTGATCCTGTGGATGTCATCCCTGCCCATGGTGAGGGGTCTGGTGATCTTTAGGGTTCCTTCCAACCCAAACCACTCTGTGAATCTGTGATTCTGTGATTTTCCACATTTCAGGCAAGAGGCCAAACAACGAGGCTACTGCAGGGACACCCTCCCTCTGACAACTGCTTTACAATGTGGGTTTCTTTCAGAAATGTTCCTCAAAGAAAGTAATTTCCAGTGCTTGGTGCTCCTGGGATAATGGCCTGCAATTGCAGGGAAGATGATTCTTCAGAATCCCTCTGTGCAAAGCTCCTTGTCCTGCTTGGGCCAGGTCTCCATCAGGGTGAGGGACACTGTAGTGTTTACACACTAAATTGTTGTGCGCTGCAAGAATATGGCCCCAGACAAAATGGGAGTCATCAATCAAAGAGAAATACAGAGAAAACCCAGACACATTTGCCTTCCAAGTGGCAGACACTCATGTTGTCACAATTTCCAGCTGGAATGACTTATTTTAGTTACAACGTTGAGATCAATCTCGGGCTGCCAGCACTGCTTTTATTCATCTGGTAGATCGAAGCAAAACAAAAAAACCATCACCTACAGTTCCCTTTCATTATTTTGATGAGTTTCAAACTCATTGGCTCCAGGGACTGGAGTTTCTGCCAAAAAACACCTCGGCTCATTCGTTAAAATTTAAGGCAATGTTTCCAAACGTGGGTGCATGAGACAGAACAGCTGGATTCATTATTCTTACAACATCACAAGAGATGCAGCTTCAAAAATTATTTCTATTCACTTTCCTAAGTGCTTAGTTTGCTCTGACAGAGATACTGATGGCTCTGTGTTCTCAGCTGACCTTGTTATCATTGTTTTCAGTGAAAAAGGGAAAAGAGTAGGACTGGTTAAATCTTTTCGCTCAATGCTTGATACCCAAAGCAATATCACCAACTTCTGGGAATGAGATATTTCTTCCTATCCACATGCTACCCAGTGCCCAGATGTCCCAATTTTCCCTCAATTCCCAAGGCTCCAGACTCTAAGCACCCCTCTCGTTTCAGGAGGAAATGGGTCCCAAACCCCAGCACAGCACTGGCACAATGATTCCAAGTAAAAAAGTGAATTATAAATAAAATGTCAGCACTAGCAGCCCTGCCATAAAGTCACCATGTCCTGCAGATATTTTTAATCAGATTTTCTGAGAAGACTGCCTAAAAATAACAGACGTGGCCAAGTGATTTGTGCACTTCAGAAAATTTTTCCCTTCACTCATGGAGAATAATAATTAGAGACAGAAAAGTTGCTGAGGCCCCAGAGATCATCTTAGCTTAATGCCACTGATATTGATCTCATGTTTATGCAATCACCATCACTGGTCAATAAAGACTATAAATGGCTCCCACATGAGTACTAATAAGAATCAAAACTCGTGTTTTAAAGGGAGAATGGATTGTGAGCAAGTCATTCACTTTCAGCATTTGCTCTAATGTTCATGCTACATGACAAACACTGAAATAAGCTCATTTTGGGCTCTGCAAACATCATTGCTGTAGGGAGCTTGCTCATTTATTTGTGACAAGTTATTTGTTTTCTGCTTTTAAAGAAGGCTGCAATGTAGTAACCGAATTTTGCCATGAGGTTGAGCTTAACCAGAGCTCCCCAGAAATTCAGTTCCTCCTTTTGGCCATGGAAAATTAGACTTAATTAGTGGCTTAATTTCTAGAATTCATACACATTTTGACACAGGCTTGATGAACCTAAAGATGCCCTCTACTCTCTGCTTTCTACAAGAAGAACTTAACAGACAACTCAGATTCATGATGGTGAGACGAATCCCATCTCCCCACTGTGCACAAAATTAATCCAAAATTAAGATATATCACTGTCTCCCTGCTTTTGTTACTTGGGTTGAGCTTGTCACCACTGTCCCAAGGTAACCAGCACAGCAGATGTGCGAAATTTCTTGTGTCTGACTTGACCTTGATATGTTGAAAGCATAAACAAGGTGCCTACAATGGGTGCTGTGTGAATGGTTCTGTGTAAATTTTAAATGTAAAAAATTATTACAAAGTTTTGGTTTACTGTTAACTGAAATAGAATTGGGTTCTGAAAGAAGGATCAAAACTGCCTTTTCTACAGTCTTCAAAATAAAACACCCAAACTGTGTAGAAGGGAAATCTGCAGGGAATTGCAATGCCAGTAAGTACAGCCAAGCAACAGCCTCTCTGCTGCCATTGCAGGAAAAAGCAAAAAAGGTTTAGCATTTAGCATATTAATTACACTAAAGAGTAAAATTACCTGTATATGATGCCCTTGGAGTGGAGGAACTGGAGCCCACAAATGATTTCAGCAGCATAAAACCTGAATGACAGAAGGCACAGGTCAGAACAGGAGCTTCCCAAAGGTTTTTTCAACTAGACCCAAAAGGATGGAAACCTTGTCCCTACAAGAGCCAAAATTTCCTTAGATTCCCAGAAGGTTTGGAGTGTCTCCAGAAGGATTGGGGTGACTGGGTTTTACTAATGAGTGATGTGAGATTCCCAAAAGCAGGGGGAATCTGAGATGGGGAGCACACACAGACTCCCTGCCCAGATTTATGACCTGCATTTCAAAGAATCCTGGAATTCTGGAATTTTTTAGGCTGGAAAACCCCTCTAGCATCGAGTCCAGCCATTAACCCAGCACTGCCAAAACCACCACTAAAAAACTGCAACCCCAAGTGCCACATCCACATTTTTTGAACACTTCCAGGGACAGTGATCCCACCACTTCCCTGGACAGCCTCTTCCAATGACTGACCACATTTTCAGGGAAGAATTTTTTTTCTGATTTTGAAAGCTTATCCATTATATGAGCTATCCAGCAGGCTCGTGGCCTTTCTCTGGAGTTTTTTTTTGAGCTTGAAGTCATTGTTCTCAACACATTTGGACCCGAAGGACATCACCACATCCTGCTGCAAAGAGGCAGCATCAACGTGAAGAATGAAAATGCTGTCCCAGAAGGGAATGAAACCAGAGGATCATATCCCCCTCCAGTGTGGCACAGCTCTGCTCCCTCAGTCTTCAATCCATTGGGACTTATTCTGGATGTTCAAATTCATTTGAAAAATATCACCAAACACTGATTTAAAAGATGGTGTGGGTTTTTATTATTAAATTATTAAATAAATGTAATTCCTATAGTGGTTTCAATATTGACTTTCAAAATACCATTTGCTTGCAGAAGGATCAAAAGCACCTTTCATTGATTCTAATTCTTCTATTTGCTTTAATCAAAGCTAAATACATATTTAATTCTCTGCTGGTATATTAATTTTTTGTTTAAATTTGCCTTTTGTGCTTTCGATAGGTTTTCAACCCACCCCCTTGAACTTTAAGGGGGGGAAAAAAGGGAAAATCCCATTACTTCTGACAAACAACAGCTTCACCTCTGACCACTGGGCTGGGGACCTCAGCTTAAGCAGGTCCTGCAGCTTGGCTACAGGGTGTTGAAAAGAAGCAAGGTCATGTCTGAGTGAAGCCAAGACTAAAAGTCTTCTGTGGGAGGGAGAAGAGGATGGGAAGTGACTCACTCCAGTCCCTCCCTGAGCTGGGAGAATGTCCTGTATGGTTCTGTTGAGACAGCTGGGACAGAGAGGCTTCCAGCACAAGCATCACCCCCACTTTTCAGCTGGACAAGGTGGAGAGAGGTGAAATAATCTGCCCAAGATCTCCTCTGCAGGGCAGTGGCAGAGCACAGAATAAAATCAGGCCCAAAGGCAATAGTAAATGTCTTACGTTGCTCTGGGGAGGTCGAACTTGTGGCAGCTCTGGATGTGGAACATGAGGTCTCCTCCATTGAGGTATTCCATCACAAAAAAGAGGTTTTCCTAGTGAAGGAGAAAAGGTGAGAAAGGTGAAAAGAAATAAGGGGTGGTGAGGAGCGAGGTAAAAGTTTAAATATTTTTTTTAAAAAATCAAACCACACAGAAGGCACTCAAAAAGAGGAAGGAAAGTGTTACTGTGAGGGTTTTGGAAAGAAAACAGCTTTTTGTTTTTTAGATTCCTCATTTCTCCTCTTGGTTGCCTAAGCCCATACTCACCCTCCCTGCTCTGATCTCTATAAACACCACTAGCAAACACTGCAAAGCCACTTCATAACCAGCTGGGGCTGTGAATTTTTACCAGCAGAGCTCCAGGCTCACAGAAAGAGGTTGGTGACTTTACAGTGTCTGTATAGCAGAAGGACAGATGGACAAGCTTCTAGTGGAAAAGGCAAAAATCACTCCCAGCTCTCCTCTGGTCCCCATCCCAGTTCAGTACCCATCCAGTGGAGTCACTTCAAGCTGGTGTCACCTGCATCCCTGCACAGCTTCTGTGGAGGCACCTGGGGCTGATTCTTTCAAATCATCAGAGACACCAGCCAGACACAGCAATTTGTTCCAAGCACATGCTTGATTTTAACCCTGAAAGCTGCTCTATGTAACTTGCTGGTGGGGAAAGTAATGAATTAATTTCTAGATTCTAGAAATATGATTAATTCATATTAAATATTCTAATTAATCATATTTACCCACTGAGCACCTGCATATCAAAGAAACCTGGAAAAAGTCGAGCTCTTGTCCCCAGTTGCATGCAACCATTGACCAGGGCAGTGAAAAACTCCTCTTCTGGCACACAGAAATGATGGAATCTCTCTCTATAATGAGCAGAACTGATCACTGATGTTTCTTTTCCAATCCTTGATGTAGAATCATGGAATCACTGCATGGTTTGGGTGGGAAGGGACCTTAAAGACCCCTAAAGTTCCAACCCCCTACTCTGGGCAGGGACACCTCCCACTAGACCAGGTTGCTCATGTCCATGACACTGATCCTCTCAGCTTCAAGAGCCAAAACTCACCACCAGAACCCTGTAGAAGCTGGTTTGGATTGATGCCTTCCACCCTGAACTGTCTCTACAAAGCAGAAAGGACACCTTTTTCTGAAGGAAAAGGATTTGCACACCGAGCTATGGTCCCAGTTTAAACTTCTGTTTTGAGAATCTCACCTTTTGTGCATAAAAGCAGGAATAAAACAAAAGAAATGTGGTATTTTTCCCCTCAAAAGCCTCTCTCTGTTCTGTACACACCTGAAGTCAGTCATCTCTAGGCTGTGCTATAAAGTTTATGAATATCTTCCTTGTGTTGCCTATTGCCCATTACATTTTTTTTCTGGGGGGTAAATAGAGTTATTTTCACTTATATTTTTAGCAGTTGAAGGTTTTCATCCATAAGATCTAATGTAAGTATCTCTGGCAGCAAGCCAAGAGCTGGCTATGTTAAAAAACCACAAAAGTGCTTGTTCCTTTCAAACAACAGCTGTCTGCTCTAATTTGTGCAATTTCTTTAGCCAGATCCTCTTAATTACAGCACTCTTATTTAAATGGACTCACTGGAAACCCCACCTGTTATCCAACAAGCTCAAAGCCAGATCTGGCCTCCTGGGGAAAGAATACAAATTCCATCACTCAACCAAACGGGTGCAGGTTTTCAGTGTTTCTTGCACCTGCAGGGGGCTGTGCACATAAATGAGTTTCAGCAAGCAAAAAAGGCCAGAGGAAGGTGGGAAATTTAGTGAAGAAATGCATAAATGCTGGAAGCAATGTGAGCTCAGGAAAATACTTGAACAGATGCTCTTTGGGAAGGTGCACAGGGAGGTGATGGGGTTTAGCCAACAACACACCAGCAACCACATGTGTCCTGCTGGGACTGAAGAAACCTCATAGGTCCTGAAATGGGCCAGATTCAGCTTTAGGGGGCTGGCAAGGAGAAAACCCCTCAATTTCCCTGTAAAGTAAAGTCCACTGATTTTGGCTACACCTCATCACACATCTCTAATTGTAGCCTGAAATCCTTGTTTATCCAGCAGAATGAGCAGTCATGCTCTGCTTGTTCATGGATTGAGCAACATCTGATGTACTTGTTTAAATGAACCCAGGGACTCTGACTTGAAACTGGGGACTCTGGCAGCATCCTTGAGGGAAGAAAAGGTGGAGCAGCCCCTCAGAATAATTTACATCCACATATACAAACCCTGTTGCTCCTTAAGCCATGGAGCTGGAGAATACAAACTTTACTCAGGAATGTTTAGTACTGAAGTTTATGATACATCAGGTGCTATAAAGTGGTACATAAATCCTATTGAAAACAGACAGGATCACTCTGACTTTCCTGCTCTGGGGCTTGGAAGTTCCCCTTGCTTCTTAAGAAGTGCAGATTCCTGGAACAGCTCGTGGAAGAGAACTGGTTGAGATCAGCCCTACGTCATTATGATTGGTGAGGTGTAACCAAGAAAGGCCAAGTGCAACAACTTGCTGCAGTCAGCTTCCTAGGTCTGAGATCTGCAGAGCCACAGAGCACATTAAATATGGGAAGTGGCAAAACCCATTCTTGAAACCACCAAAAATTCAAGAAAGAGCTGGAGGTCAAAGGGTCGGACTGGGGCAGGGGACGTTCTTGCGCACAGGCTCCACTTCACTTCCCCTTGTCCTGGGAAAGTTGGCTGATGGCTCCTGCCTGTCCTGGGAGGCTCTGGAGCCTGTCAGCACTTGGAGCAGGCAGGGGGGTTTTATCTGGTTGAAAATGTCCCTGCTCACTGCAGGACAGCTGGACTAGATGACCTTTAAAGGTCTTTTCTAACCCAAACCACTCCCTGAATCTCAAGGCTCTGCCATGCCCTTATCCCCTGCAGCCGTCCTGTGTCACAGACATGTTTTATGAAAAATCCTTTTGCTAGGATCCTTTCTCCTGAGAAGCTGAGAGGCCTCAGAAATGAAATGTAAACAATAATTATCTGCTGCTGTGGAATGCAACAGGTGCATCTGTGATTGATCTCATGTGGTTGTTTTTAATTAATGGCCAATCGCAGTCAGCTGGCTCAGACTCTCTGGTCAGTCACAAGATTTTATTATCATTCCATTCCATTCCATTCCATTCCATTCCTTTCTAGCTTTCTCATGAAATCCTTTCTTCTATTCTTTTAGTATAGTTTTAATATATCATTTTCTTTTAACATTAATATATATCATAAAATAATAAATCAGCCTTCTGAAACATGGAGTCAAGATTCTAGCCTCTTCCCAGGTTGGAGTTGCCTGCAAATTCAGCAGTCCTGCCTGTTGATGGTGAGCAAACAAGCAGGAATGTTGTTCCTCAGTGGTGAGACCCTCACAGCCCTGCAGGAGGCTTGGAAAGAGTGCCCTGTCCCTCTGTCCTGCAGGCAGGTGACAGACAGATTGCTGACCACCTGTGGGACATCCCTGGGTGGCAAATGCTCAAGCTAAACTCTTGGTCATGGTTCTGGAGTCACACAACAGAAAAAGTTTGGTCTCATGGCAGATCTCATGACCATCTTTTGTGACCACAGAGCTCAAGGAGGATTGTAAAGGCCCTTCCTGCACTCAGGGAAGGACACTGCACCAGGGTAGAAATAGAAATTCTGAGCTGGAAAGGACCAGCAAGGATCATCACAGTCCAACTCCTGGCCCTGCACAGGACACCCCTGAGAATCACACCATGTGCCTGGGAGCACTGTCAAAACACTTCCTGATGTATTTAATACCAGTTGTCTTAAGAATGTCTGTAGGGGGATAGAATATAAGAAAATAAAGATAGTGTAGAAAGTAATCTTACCCCTAAGGAGTTGCAGCTGGGCCAATTATCAAAGATTAGGAGCAGGCCTGACTTTAACAGGCCACAGCTGTACCCAGTGAGATGAAGATGCTATAAAAGAGGGAGGTGGGTGAGAAGGGAATGGGAGTCAGTTGGCTGCTTTGTGAAGGAGAAAGAATCAGTGCTGGGAGGAGATGACCATGAGAAACACCAAGAAGGTATGGAACTTTTGTGATAGGAAACAAAAGTACGGAACCCCTGCAATAAGATGACAACAAATATCCATGTATCAGTGTTCCTGATTGCAATCTGTATGGCAGGTTATCTTTTGTCAAGTGGGCAGTTTGCCTTATCTCTCTCTCTCTCTCTGAGTGCTCACAACCACTCCTCCCTTGAGAGGGGACATCTGCTGATAACAGCTATTGAATGACACTGCATGGCTGATAAGAACTACAGCATCCCATTGGGAGATGTGAGCCCAGAGGGAGGAGCCAAGCATTCGTACCTGGATATAATCCAGAGATTTTTGAGACACCAGCATGGCTTCTCCACTGGATTGCCCAGAGGAACAGCAGCTGCCTCCTTCCCTGGATCTTCAGAAGAAGACTGTACCTTTCTACAGGATCCCTGCTCCAACAGAACCACCCCTGACACTGCAGGAGGGCTGCAGCCACAATTGCAATGGGACTGACCCTGACCCACAGGGTGTCAGGTTGGGTTCTGACTCTGTTAGTGTTGTTCCAGTGTACTGCATTGTTTATTTTATTCTTTTATTTTTCCTTTCCTATTTAAGAACTGTTATTTCCTGCTCCCATATTTTTTGCCTGAGAGCCCTTTAAATTAAAATTTATAGCAATTTGGAGGGGTGGGGAGGGTTTACGTTCTCAATTTCAGTCAGGGGAGGCTCCTGCCTTCCTTAGCAGACTCCTGTCTTTCCAAACCAAGACAATCAGCCATTCTCTACTTCTAGACCATCTCCCAGGAGCTTTCTCCATTGCAGCACTGGGAACAGGACAAACCCTTCTGTAGGAGGGTGAAGTGCTGCTCCTGCAGCAGACAGAGCCCTACAGCATGAGGTTGTACAACACACAGACATGGCAGCAGTGTCCTGCTCAACATAACACAGCTCCTGCACACAAAATAACACTGTTCCCCTGACCAGCCAGTGCTGAAAGCCTGGGTTGCTGCAGGAACTCGCTTTCCTGCCCTTTCAGACCCTCAGTGCCTGTGCTGAGCTCC